ATGTGGTAAAACGACTGAAATCTTGCCAGGTTTTGACAACACTGATTTGAGCCCTCACCATGTGCCAATTAAATGCTAATGCAACAAGAGGGTACGAGGAATCAGACCTCAAGTTGAGCCATCAGCTGTGATCGTTAGGTGGACATTTGAATGAGCAGAAGCCCACTGCGTTTCTGATAAATGGGGAATACTCCCCGAAAAAGGACAAGCTGCTTTTTATTATATCTTAATAGTAAGGGATTTTTCTTAAATTCATCATAATTTTTTAAAATATCTAAAATTCATCATGTTAGTAACTTTTTATTTTTCAAAACTCAACTTTCGTTAGTGCACCGTTAATACTTCTTAATAGAGGTGTCCATATCAGTATAAATAACAATTTTTATGATCAAATTACCCTTGAATGGTGAGTTAGAGGAAAAAATGGTCTTTTTCAGTTTTCATTTTTCTTGTTTCTTTTTTTTTTGCATTTTTAGTGTTTTTTTATAATTTTCAATGTTTTTTATATTTTTATATTTTCTACAATCTATAAATTTTCCTGTATTTTTTGTTATTTATTTGCAATTTCTGTGTTTTTCTATAATTTTTGGTGTTTTTTTACAATTTTTATTTTCTGATTTTGTTTTTCAATTTCTATAGTTTCTATAATTTGAAAATAATATTTTATTTTATTTGCAATTTTTATAATTTTTTATATTTCTTTGTAATTTATATGTTTTTATGCATTTTGTATTTGAAAATACTTTTTTAAACTTTTTCCTTTTATCATGTCTAAATATTAAAATGGCAATATGCTAACACCCATTAGTCTGTTTAACGTCAAGTTAGTGACATGGTGAGTTTTAGACATTTTGAAAATTTGTGAATTTAAGAGAAATGCTGAAAACTCATAGTGAGTTTTAGACAATTTTCCTAATAGTAATTAAAAAGTTATGAAAAGGGTAATTTTGACAATTAATAAGGGGCTTGTCTCCTTATCAAAAGAGTGGTCATAGCCTGGTCCATTGTTTGGGCTGAAAATAGACTGTTTTATTTTGGGTTCAACAACAGCTGAAATGGCTGAACTGAATGCTGTCTTTTATTGAATCAAATAATTAAAAAGTAAAATATAAGAGGGCATACTAATCAACCCCCACCCCACTCCAATTAAGGATCATGCAACCTCTTGAATAACTTCTTCACTAAAGTTATAAATGATTCAGTTCAGCTACCCTTGTGTGTGGGTTGATCAATACAAGTTTATAAGAGATATGTATTGTCATCATATATTAATGTTATTTCAATTAAGAAAAATGTTTATATCTTAAAAACATCAATTTGACATTTTAGGCAGAAATAGATATTTGTATTGATCAATTCAAAATGTTTAAGTTAAAAAATAAAAACAAAAAAAAAATCTCATAGAAATTTGTATTAATCAACACAAAATATAACACCACTGTACCAAACACCCCCTTAAATGACCCCTAATATTAGGGATTAATAGAAGCCCCCATTTAACTTGAGCTAAAACCTCTCCACGATTACTAGTAGCACCTTTTTTTTGAACCCCAAACATTACTCCAGGTGAGGGGCGATCACCTTAAATTTTATTAACCATTTTCAAAAGGAAAATTTGTAATAACAGTGGAAGATTTAGCCCACTGTGCCCCATAACCCAAGCATACATAGCTCTCCCTCACCATCCAGGCCCACCCAAAGAAAAAAAAGTCTAACAAAACCTAATTAATTCTAAGGATAGGCAAACCCAAGTTATCTTCATGAATAAAACAAGCCAAATCTCTAGGAATTTGGGAATTACCATTGATCACTTTAAGCGTGCATCTTTCATCAATTCCTTTGTTAGCTAGGAGATCATCACAGTGATTTCTCTCTCATAAGATATGGGCCCACCTAATATTCATTCTCTGCACTAAGTTATTAATCCTGTGCAAGATGTAAACAGAATTCCAAGGATTATCCGATTTACCCATTAGAATGTCAATAATTATCATGTTATCACTTTCAACCTCAATCTCTTTATAGCTTCTTTGCAAACAAAGGCTTAGACCATTGTACAAAGCTGAAAATTCTGCTTTAGTAGAGGTAGACTGACCATAGTAACAGTGAAAAGAAAATAAGAGAATTCCAAAAGAGTTTCTAAGTAAACCCCCACCTCCTCCTTCACCAGGATTGCCACGACAAGCCCCATCCACATTCATCTTGTAAGCAAAATTACTTGGAAATTTCCAGCTAACAAAAACAAAACCAACCATATTGTCAAACACTCCCTTACTCTCACATAAAAAAACTCTATATAATTTCATTGTTAATTTGTGTGGACACGCCTATCAATGCCATGCACTGATGCTCATGTTGGGATGCCAAGATTCAGGAATGTGAAATCTTTTCAACAAAGCATCTTACACTGCCAATATACCCTAGGCCTAGGATTACATCTCTTTGACTATCCAAAAATAAAGAAGTAAATAAATAAAAAGGTCTCTCACGCAAAGCAACGGCCAATGGTAGGGGTGCAAGTGTGCAACTTTTCTGGGTTAAGGTTGGGATTTTGTCAAATTCCAATGGGCCCAACAAGAAACCCGAGCCTAAAACAGTGTAAACTGTTAAATCGGACCAACCCAACTTGCACTCCTAGCCAAGAGGAATATCCCAAGTTGGCTATCACCATGCGTCCATGCATTTGCATGTGAATTTATCATATCAGTGTCTATCCATCTGATCCAATCAAATCTTTAAGGCCAGTCCTAGGAGATCCAGGGCTTCCAATTGGGCTTTAGTTGAACCAAGGCCCATGGTATGTTGTAGGAATCTGAATACCTACAACTAAGGCTTATCGGGGTCAAATCTATCCAAACATTAGGTCTGTTTAGTTATCTTGCCTTTTGTTGATGTTGCTCTTTGCTTGTTTGTTCGCTTGATTGTTTTATGTTTAAACTAGAACCCAAGCACCCTAAAATGAATCTCATCCGAAGGGGTTGAGGGTGGGATAATGGCAAGTCTGTCCTTACTAGATAATCCCTTCAATCAGCCAGCTGGTTAAATTCTTTGGGCATATTTGGTATCATTGCATTGTCTGTTCATTTCTCCACCACATTAGATTTTACTGAATCATAATCTTTTTTGGTTGGGTTTCAGGTGCAAACTCTTTACAGAGATTTTATAGAGATTTGCTCCAATACCTAATGGCACTCGTGTGTAATAAACAGCTATATCTCACTTGTGCCCAACCCGATTTTTCATGCTTATATCAAGTACAAACGTTATATCTATGCAATGCTATGTTACCAAATACACTTTAAAATCCACTACATCATCGGATCATTGCTGAGAACTAATAGATTTAACAAAACCGAATTCAAATCTCCGCCACACAACGTCCCACAACACATTACATTCCCGCTGTGTATTGGGAATATCGCCCGATGATAATATCACTCTCGATGATGTCATCATCAGGTTGTGATGTTTTCAATACACATCGGGGATGTACTGTGATGTTGTGGGGTGACACTTTGTGCGACGGCAATGTGAACTCAACAAAACCCTCCCAATGAATAATACAGTAGGCAAAGATATCAGTTTCAATTGGTATGCAATGATATAACAAGCATTGATCAACGTCATTACTAATGCAAGGGGTTGAAAAACTCAACGCCACTATTCTACTTTTCTTAAATAACTTGAACCTGGCTTTCTTTCACATACCATTACGGATATGGAAAGTTGGGAAAGACTGCCTTCAATTGTCAACTGCTGATTGACTATAGATTATATAGCAGATGGTTTCATAAAACGGACAGCATGCAAGGATCAATGATGAATTCGTAAATTGGCTTCAAGTTCTTTAATCAGAGGTTCCTCAGGCTTCTCAAGACTCGAGATCCGTATCATACACATTAAGCACTTCTTAAGGAATACACGAGGGACATGTAATATGGATTTAGATAATATGGAAAGTTTTTAATCTTTAAAAATCTACGATGCCAGAAAGACATGATACTAGAAAGGACTTGACCAATCAAACCGCCCAGGTGAATTTAGATGGAAATCCACCTAATTTGTTACCACTTTTATGATGCCAGTTGATTGATTATAAATTTTTATAGAGACTTTTAGGTCACATTCGCTTTTCAGTAAGTTACTTACCCAGGTAAATGCAATTACTTGGGTAAATTTTCCGAGGAAACACTTATCCAGGTAAGTGCATTTACCCATGTTATTTTATTTCTCATGTAAATAAGGCGATAACCATATTAGCCATTAAAATCCATTATTAAAAAGGGTATTTTTGTCCCATTCAAGTATTGTCAATTTTCCCCTTACCTGGGAAAGTTATTTACCCACCTAGGAGATGGGTAAGTGATACACAAGAAAATAAACTTTCACTAGTCTCCACATAAATCTGAAAAAAGAATATGGGATTTCTTGGTCAATGGAAACCAAAATCCCATTGACCAACTTTCCCCCCTCTCAAAATCCAAAAAAATAACACCCCCTTAGTTTTGACAACCCTTTGTTGGAGCAAGGCACCTTCAGCGCCGTGAAAATTGGAACCATAGAACTTGAAAAGTTAAATAAAATCGATATAAAGATCACCCTAATCAGACAGTAGAGCACAAAATTATGGTTTCCAGAAATTAAGAATACACTTTAGTGTGTGTGACCTATGAACCTTGGAGTTTAACCATGAACTACCTAGAAGCAAGAAATTTTTTGTTTTAGGGTGTATTCTAATATCCTGTAAAAAGAAAAGATTATAAAAGAAGAAAGAGAGTTCTGATTTTCTTCCTAATTTTTCTATGTTACAATATGCAACATGCTCTTGGGATTGACATACTAAAATTCTTGTCCAAGCTCAGTTGGCCTAGGCTTGATTCCTAGCTGGACCAACCAGGTCAGACAAATTTGCCAGCAAATGGTTGCCTGGATTTTCTTATTTCGTTGCAGAATCTAAACTTGAAGTTATTCAGGGGTAATTTATAAGATGGCAATCCATATTCCATGCAAGAAAAGAAATATATATTCATATGTCTCAATCAAATAGAAAGTCATTTACAAGTTCCTTTTGTTTTCTCTTCCTCACCATTCAAACCAGTCATAAAAGGAAAAAAGACAAAATAATAATTATGTTTGTCCCATTTCATGGATAGTAGGTTAGAACCTCTGAAGAAAGAAATCCCAATGAGGTCTAAGGGGTGGAGAATGAATAAACCTGGGTTAACTGGAAGACTTTTTGGGAGGCTTCTTCAAATCTTCTTGTTTCGTTTGCCCATCGCCTGCCTTTTTCTTGTCCCTCCTCTCCCTCTTCTTTAGTGCACTCATGTGTGCCTTCAGAATTGTAGCATATGAAGCTTGAAAGCGGAGATGGTCCTTTGCTGATAGCTTATACTCAAAGGATAACAAAACCAATTTAGATTGGCATTCCATCTAGACATACAAAAACTATTATAGGAAGAGGAAAAAGATATGATACACATATAAAGCTAAATATACATATGACAGTACTCTGAATTTCTAATTAGGAAGCACATGTTTTAAAATATTACCATTGAATATTCTTATACAGTATATTAAAATGTTATTAACTAAATAAGTATCAATATCAATTCATTCACAGATGGCTTAGCCAGGCAAGGGGTGAAAGGAGTCCCCCTTTTTTGGGCTTAGTTGTAATTGTTGTTATTTTGTATTGGGTGTATGTTGCCATTTTTGGGGAGTTAAGATATTTCAGCTCCCCTACTGTGTAACCTTTTTCTTGATTAATTAATGAATATTACTGTTATTGATCAAAAAAATATAAGTATCAATACAGATAATGGTAGATCAAACAATAAGCAGAACTTGAAATAGTTCAGAACACCATGATAGATAATGAGGCTTAACCCAACTAGTAGAAATTGCTAATGCATCCCAACCATGGACCAGATGGAGCCTACAAAAATAGCCAGGAAAGAAAAATTAGGAAGACAAATGCAACTGTGTAAGATCATCATAACCAAAGCCAATTATCAGGGTAGATATAATGTATGCTGGTTTGCCTTCTAAATATGCTCCAATTTAAGAGTATAATATATAAAATATAAATGAAAAGACAAAATACAGCTGAAATTGAGAAAAAGAATTCTGATCAAGATGGGAGAGGGAATCATCAAGGACCTTTTCCATGTTTTTTATCATTTTCCCTTTTTATGAATGGTTTAAATCCAATGTACCACTTTGACCATGGCACTCCACCAATGGGAGCTTGTCTTACATCACCAGTCCCAAGCCCAGATAAAGGAGGGTTACATCAGGTTGGCAGCCAATACTAAAGCTTTTGTCAAATTCTCATGATCATGGATCCTAACTTGTCTTTTTGTGCTCATGCTAGGGCGTAGATATGGCATCAAACAGAACATAATGGCAAAACAGGATTCATGTAGCCAACCCCTTGATTCCATAAGTTGGGATAAGACTTGGATGATGATGATGATATACCACTTTGACCATGAAGATCTTTATGATATACCACTTTCCTCTGAAAAATCCTTGCATTCCCTTACCTCCCAAATTTTCTAGATAACTGCCATCTTTGTGCACCACCACATTATTTTCCCCCTTCTTCTAGGCGAAGTGAAGAAAGGTTGAATAAACTTACCACATCCGTTGGAGAGCTCCACCTGCATCAAAAAAGAGAAGAGAACCATTCCCAAACGCAAATAGCTAACGGGTAGGCGATTAGTAAATGAAAAGTAGACTGCCCACTTTCCCTAAAAAGGAAATACACATGTGGAGAGAGGCACCACTTAGGTCTGAGTCTTCGTAAAACATTGCAAATGTTAATTTTCTGAAGATAAACTTCCCAACACAAAGCCCTGATCTTTGGAGGTACCAGTTTGATCCAAATTTCTGCTGCTAGAAAAGGATGTCAGAAGGGCAGAAAAGAGGTGAGGGACTGAAAAACGGATGAACTAGAGAAAGCACCTGAAGGATTAATTTGTCCAAAATCTATTATCTATTTTTCTAGATTTTTCTAAGCCAGACAGTCAGATTTGGACTCCCCACCCTAAGGGAGTTTTCTCCTGTGCCTCTTTTTTCTCTTCCTTGTGTTCATCCCCCACCCCTCAACCTTGTCCTGTGATTGGTCCAAACCTATTCCTCCCAAGGTTGGGGCATTGTGTTGGGAAGTCTTTCATGAAAAAATTAACACTATGGATGTCCCGCAAAAAAATACCTCATCTATGTATCTCCCCACATTGGTGTATCCTTTGCAAATCAAACGGAGAAAGTAGTTACCACCTTCTAGTCTCCTGCCCTTTTGTTGTAGGTATTGGGGAAAAGATTTTTGGTCTTTTTGGTAACAGGTGGAGTGTGCCCCCACAGATTGGTAGTCTTTTTGGCCTATGGCCTTCAGCCAGCCAAAGAGAAGGGGTAGAGTTATGTGGGAGTGTACTCAGGCTGCATTAATTTGGACAGTATGGGAGGAAAGGAACAAAAGAATTTTCAATGGGACAGAAAGGAATGAGGAGATAGTGTGGGAATGTGTTGTAAATAGGACTATACATTGGACTAAATCGTTAGACGTTTTCTCAGACTTCTCTCTTGATGATATTTGGTGAAATTGGGAAGCTGTAGCAAGAAGTTCCATTATGAAGAATAAACCAGTTGCAGTCCAGATTCCCCTGGAAGGTTTTATCATGTGAAATTTTGATGGCAGTAGTCTTGAAAACCCAAGGCCGGCTGGCATAGGAGGAGCTTTTAAAAATACTGAAGGGGCACATTCTTGCTGTATTTTCAGGCCTGTTGGAGAAGGGGTTCAATGTATGCTGAGTTCAAAGCAGTCCTGCAAGGGGCACAATTTGCTAGAGACTTCAATTATGACAGATTGATAATTGAGCGTGACTCTAAATTGGTAGAAGGGTGGCTGAAGGAACCAAAAACAATGTTTTGGAAATATAGGAATTCAATGAAAATATTTCAATGGTTAATTAGAGATATGGCAATTATTCTAAAACGGGAAAGGTCGTCAGGAAATGGGTTATAAAGCCCATTTTATTTATATAAAAATACCTTTTTCAACTCCTAAACTAGGCTATAAAGCCCAATAAAAAGTGGATGTTTATTGATAAAAAAATAAAAAACAGATATCAAAACATATTAAAAAATGCTTTCAAATCCAACTAATTTGCCCAAGCCTGACCAAGGCCAACCCCTAGTTGTGTTGAGTTAGCTCAATTTAGGCCTCAGTTTATAAACTGAGGCTTGACTTCAACTTGGACCAAGACTGAACCTACGGTCTAAATCTTAGGGTTGGACTTGGGTTGACCCTCAACCCAACCCAACCCACCCAAGTTGCATCCTTACCCACTTCACCACATGCTCTCTTTTGGTCTTCCGTAGTTCCCAAAGAAAATCCCTCATAATCTTTTCTAAGCTCTTCACTCAGTGTTCTAAAAGGCAGACCTAGGCGCAAAGGTGAGGCACATTTTAGTGTGACTAGCCCAGGTCCAGGCACATGTATGTATGAAATGCACTTTCCTTTGTGCCTATCCGTGCACTTCATGCTAGTAAGTAGTAACAGATTATGAAGTGAAGATTCACAAATAGAGGAATGAGATGCAGCCTCAATTACAAATAAGATCGACAATTGAACCCAAGAAAGATAATCTTTATGCATCCCTTGTTTAGCTAAGTAGTTTGCCACCCTATTAGCTGATCTCCTTTCCCACTGAATTCTTACAGTCATAGTCATAGTCATCCATTTAAATCTTTTCACTGCCTCTCTATAATTCCATATTACAGTATCCAATTCCTTCAACCACACAACCATCAGCTTAGAATCCCCTTCATTAGCAATCTGTCAAAGTTCAGCTCTCTTGCAAGTTGTGCTCCCTGCAACATTGCTTGAAATTAAGCATGGATGGAATCCCCCATTCCTGCAAGACCTGAATAAATGACCAATAGATGGCCTTCTGCATTCCTAAAAACACCCCCTATTTGTGAAGGCCCTGGATTACCCAAGTTACTACAATCAAATTTGAGTTTCATAATCTGAGCTTTTTGTTACAACTTCCCAATCCCGTCACATATCATCAAAGGAAAAAAGGAAAACAAATCCAAGGTTTTGCCTAATGTATCATTAAAATAGCATCTTCATTTCTTTCCATATCATTAAAAATTCTAGCATTTCTCTCCTCCCATACTGTCCAAAACAAAGCAGGCAGCTCTAGTACATCTCTACAAGATTCTGCCCCTTTTCTAAGGCCATTCAAAGGTGGTAGGGTCAAATAAGCTTCTAACCTGCAAAGGCAAATTCCACCTACATCCAAACAAAACAAAAAGCCTTTCTCAAAGGCCTACAACAGGGTAAGAGATTAGTAAATGGTCACAGCTCTCACCATTGGCTTTACAAAGAATACAACAGTTGGGGGAAATGCAAAGAAAGGATCTTCCTTTTTGCAAATTGTCCAGAGCATTTAATTTTCTATGAAAGACTTCCCAACAAAGAGCTCCAACCTTGGGTGGGATGGGGCCTAGAACAAATGGTTTTAGAAGGGAAGGGCAGAGAGGTGCAATTAGAGCACACCAAAGAGAAAAAGGAAGCACAAGAGAATAAGCCCTTAGGGTGAGGAGTCCAAACCCAATTATCTAGTTTAGCGGGATCTTAAAAAAAAAAAAGAAAAAAAAAAACATAATCAAGGTTTTTTAAAAGTAAGGCAACTTGATCAAACTCATGGTCTCTCAAATCTCCTCTCAAACCAAAGTTCCAACGGAGAGAAGGAAGCAAATCTTTGGATAGGTTCCTTTTTGAACAAGGAGAGGAAAAACAAAGAGGGAAAGAAATCCTTAAGAATAGGGTTACCAACCCAAAGGCTTCACTCTATATTTCCTTCTCCCTTGGTAGACCTTTGCTTTGTTAACCTCATTCCCTTCACTTTCTTCCCTTCCTCTTCTTTACCAAAACCATCCTCTTCCTTCTCTTTCCCCAAGCAATCCTCATCACCACTTGTACCTTCTTTGATCTCCTCCTTTCCTCTTCCCCTCCCTCTCCTTCCAACCCCTTCGTAACTCCCTCCCTTTCACCTGTGAGGATCAAATCAGATCCTTCCTTGATATTTCACCAAACTGTTGCAAATCGTTGCCTACACGCAAAGCCTATGTCTCGCTGGACCCTTCAACAAATCCCCCTTTGTTCTCCTTTTCCTTCACTTCCTGAAGATCCTCTATCAAATTGTTATTGACATCCAGACCCACGACCTCCCATCAAGTTCTAATCGTAGGAGAACATGATGGACCAGAAAAATCATCTATCATTGCCCCTTCCTTATTGATCATGTGCTCCCTTAAGAACCCATGTGCCTCAATTCTTCACTTACAAATTTTGCGGCAAAGTGAAAAATGGAAGGATTTTTAAAGCAAAGAAGCATATAGATATAATTAGTGGTAGG